CTGAACTTCTATGGATTTTTTCAGAAGTTACTGGAACTTTTTTTTGAATTTATCGGTACTTACCCTTAAAGATCTTTAAACTTTCCAGAAAGTATGACCTTTCCCGATATTTCGGAACGTACCTGAAATTATTGGACTCACTCTTAGGATCTCTGAAAATCCCTAAAAAAAACTCAAAACCTAGCTTCTCTGAGAAAGGCTTGTAACTTCTATAAATTTTCAAAAAAAAATCTTAAGTTCTCTATTTTTTGAAATTCTATTAATTTCACTGCAGCTCTCTGGATATCTCTGAAGTTTACAGAACTTATTAAAAGATCCCTGAAGCTAATGGAACTGCTTGAACCTTCTTTCATCATCATCATCATCATCATCATCATCATCATCTTCTTCTTCTTCTTCTTCTTCTTCTTCTTCTTCTTCTTATTCTTCTTCTTCTTCTTCTTCTTAGTATTTAAAGCTTATTGCTTATCGCATATTAGCTTATTGCGAGCTCTCAACTTAGTGTTCTGGATGCACTTCCACAGTTATTAATTAAGAGCTTTCGATGCCTGTACCATTTTTGGATTATTATAATTGTGTGGCAATTACAAACATACTCTATGCCCAAGTTAGTCGAGATATTTTCCAAAAATTTCAAGGCCGGACGGGTAATCGAACCCAGCCACCTCCAGCATGATTTGCGCCTTTACTGACTGTGATAAGAGAGGCTTTAGCCTTCCTACGGTGTTCAAGAAAGTTTTGCCAAATCCGGGTCGATATGACCCGAACACCTTAAGGGTCATATTGACGCGGATTTGAGCCAAAAATTTCAGAGGCATTTTCTTAAAAAAATCATATTCTTTGCACATACCACTCAGAATTGGTGTCGGAATCATCAACACGGCCATTTTTGTACGGGTTTGTTTTTCATTAAAAAAAAAAACTGTATGCGTTGTAACTTGCAATCAAAATGTACAACACTGCCTATGTGTACAGTCCATGGAAACATACCCAAGTAACCACCAATTAGGTAGCCTATTCGGTAACCACGGAATAAGAATCAGAAGGCCCGGAATAGGTTACGGAAACATCGTAAATGTGGCCAATATATTATTTTTATAGCATCAAGCCGTGCGACACCTCAGAATTTCCAAATTTCATGAAGAATTTATCAGAGACCCAGACAGAAGCAACATTGGTCATCCGGTGATCTCGGAACAGGTTCCAGGAACCCTGGAAAGTTCGCCAATTTATAATTTTCATAAGACCAATTCGTGCGATTGAGGTGTCGCACGAATTGATCTTATGAAAATTATAAATTTGCTAAATATCATACAAAAAATCATCAGAGACTATGTGTACTGCATAAATCTACATTGGCCACCATTGGTGGTCGCAAAACAGGTTCATCAGATGCCATGTCAACATGTCCGGGCAACATTGGCCTTCCAGTGATCTCGGAACAGGTTCCAGGAACCCCGGAGAGAGGGTTAATTTTTTAATTTTCTTAGAACCAATTCCTACGGCACCTCAAAATTCACATAATTTCAAGAAGAACTCATCAGAGGTTTTTCCAACATATCCGGGGCAACATTGGTCAGCGGTGGTTTAGGAACTAGGGGGTCAATCTATTTTTTTTTTCATTAAACAAAATCGTGTGACACTTCAAAATTCGCAGAATTTCATGAATAATTCATCAGTGGCTATGTCAACTGTCTAAAGCAACATTGATCCCGGAACAGATTCCGGAGGCACCGTAAATGCAGACAATTTATAATTTTCCTGGAAGCCGAGCAGCACATCAAAATTTGCAGGATGTCATGAAGAATGCATCGAAGGCCTTGTCAACATGTCCGGAGCAAAATTGGCCAACTTTTGTCTTAAACAGTTTCCGGAAGTCCAGAAAGGGGGCAAATTTAAAATGTTTATAGAATCAAGACGTGCGTTGCATCAAAATTCGCATAATTTCATGAAGTATTCATCAGAGATGCTTGTAAGCTATGGAAGTAAGTGAGCCAGGTATGCATTTTGCACGAAATCCAATACTAAATATTCGATTGAGTGCAAGAAGTACAACAAATATATTTTCAAAGCACATTCCAAAATATTCTGTTTGGATTAAATTCCTTAACCGAACAAATCTTGATCCAAAAGGATGTGGGTTTATGGTTGGTGAAATATTGAACTGGTTTTTATTTTATTTTTTGTATTGATTTATTTCTTTTGGTTCTATTAAATAAGATTTTAAATAAGATTTGTTTCAAGGGTATAAGTAATTCTCTTTATTTAAAGCAAGACAAAAAACTCATGCTTTGATGTGTGCTCCAAGAAATTTTGGAATTGCTGAGGTCTCACACGGATTGGTTTTATGAAAATTATGAATTGGCTCCTTTCTGGGGTTTCTGCAATCTGTTCCAAGACAACCGATGGCCTATGTTTTTTTAACTAGGCTCAGTCGTGTGTAACACTTTGCGGAGCAAAAAATCAGTAATTTTTGAATTTGAAGAAAGGATAGTGTATTTGCTCATTTTTCTATGCGTTTCCTCGAGCGCAGGCTGTCTGTCACTTGTATTCAAGCAAAGTTGCCAGTCTTCTTGATATGTTGTCTTCAGTTTAAGGGTGATTTAGACGATTTTAGGTCATTTTTAGGGCTACAAAATGGTGAGTTGACAACCTGGAAGGAACGGAATACCTAGCCCTGTTCCTCAAAAGTTCCTACTTCACGCCTCCCCGAGTCATATGATAACAAAAGACTACCAGCTGAAACATGGACAGAGCTGGGTGGCGTAGCTTGGGAAATGTTGCCAGTCCAGCAATAGCAAAGTGAAGAGGTGCGACGTGAACACTGGCGCGGTAACCATAGTACGGTGATAGAGGAAATGCTTCACCAAACCCGAGCGTCTGTTCACCATGGAGGGGCGGCTCATAACGGCGTCTATTCTCCATGTTAGGAGCGGCTGATCACCATCCTAGTGCCAGCGTGGGACTCTAAACAGAGCTGTGCACGATGGTTCCCAACAAGCCGCCCTGGAAAAACATAAAGTTGCAAATACTGAAGAAAGATACGACTTCTTCGGACAGCAGAGGACAACAAGGCCTTAGCCTGATTGGTAAGGTAAGGTAAGGTCATTTTATGCAGTAATTGTTGCTTGGTGATCTTCAGGTCTTTTTAGCTTCCAAAGAAGGCCTAGGCATTGTAAAACAGTAATCGACAGCAACCAGTAGTACCTCTCGATGTGTATCACGCGACCGTCAGTATACTCGAAAGCAGCTATTGTTAGGTCTGCTTTGTTCGTCTTCTGCAGTTTGTTCGGTCGATCTTATTGGTGTAGACCTAGGTAACAAAAATTTCGCGTTTAGTGTATACGATTTGTGTTCCTTTCTCCAATTTAGGTGGATAATATCTTTAATAACAAAGCGTTACACCTCTAAATTTGAGCCACATACTCTGCTGTTACCCATTCAACCATAATCCTACCAATTTATCCTCAACGCCTAGTCACCGATATCAATTGGATGTAAAGCAGAACACACCAACGAGCTCCTAAACGGTACTACAGAAAATACACACACACACATTCCACCGAGCTCATTGCGCCGTAAACGACAATTTGATTACCGTGAAAATTAGCACCGAATAGTCGAACCCAGGTGGGAGTAAACAGCGGAAATCCCCGAGCGGGCAGAAAAGAGTGAACAGAATAAAAATAAAAACACCGATCGCAAGTAAAAGCAACACACGAAAAGAAATTGTCCTTTCGCTAATAAAACTAAACTACATGATAGCGAAAACGCCACGCCGTTAACACCGGGCTAATAAAATATCCTATTTATAGGTCGGGTCGGTTGGTAATAAAACCGATGCCACCGCTGTCCTTTGATTCCCGCCGCGGACTGGCTGTGAGAACAACAACCGGACGGAGCTCGTGTGTGAGCCTCTGGTCGATGCTTGCCACCTCGTAGAAGTCGACATGGCATGGTCGCAGTGTAGTGCCGTCATCGTCGTCCTCGTCGGCGACGTCGGTAGAAAGTGTTAAAAAGCATAACAAAGTTAGCCAAAGGAGGAAATGCTTTCGAGCCGGAATTGAGGGGGAGCATGGGGTCGGAGCGGGTGGAAAGTTAACGAGCTGGTTGAAAGAGATGATGAAAGGCAATCTGTGAAAAGCCGAGCACCAATGATGGCATGGAATCGAGATTGCTGGGTAAACACTACTGGCGCACCCTGCCACTGCTCCGGTAGGCAGGAATCGGAAGAAAGTGGAACCGGTAATAACGATAAATATTAACAGTGTGAATGAGAGCAGAACAAATAATAAAGGCTATTAAGTGGAATCTAGTTTTCGAGCTAAGCTTTGTTTGGCTCCGGAGCGCTAGAATGGTTTTATGAGACATTGTTGATAAGTGGATTACCGGTTCCGGTGATAATTTCTATAAGTTTCCTGAACTTTAATCGAGATGATTTGGACTCACTCATAAGTGATTTCAAGTTTCTGGGATTGTCCAGGGGCCCAAGAAATTTTCCCCTTCTTCCAAATTTGTTAGCTGGACGGTAATCTTTTGTACTGATACCTATTTAACAATTATGTCGATGCATGCTCATTACAGCTGTTGCTAAAGAAAGATTCATTATATGCAGCCATGAATATAAGTAGGTATACGTAAAACACGATTGGGTGAAAACGAATCAGTACTTGCAAATACGGTGCTTGCTTGTTGCATATTTTCTTGTTAATTAATAATGATCACATCTTTCTCACGCGTGTTATTATGGGCATGGTTTACGGAAGTTTTCCATCGTACTTTATGTTACATCACTTCTCATTTTCTAGACCACACAGTGAGAAGTGGTTTTTACTTTTCAACCCAAAATAGGAAAACAAAATGCAAGTCTTTTGTCTGAAACGTTGCACCCAAAACACGCAACTAAACTGATTGTTTACGTTCTCTTAATAACTCAATTCATACATTGCGACGCTCGAAGCCCTAATTCCACCTTCCCAAAAGTAAGAGTCAACACTCACCTGCGGTGGATAGTGATCGGGCAGGATGTGCAACGCCTCCCGGTACACGGCCAGTGCCCGCTGGAGTTTTCCTTGGTCCGCGTACAGGTTGCCCAGCTGTAGCAGGGCACTGATCCGGGCGTTGTCATGGGCTGCCCGATCACGCAATCCAACTCCGTCCAGCTTGGATCCCTCACGCAGCACACTGGCCGCTTCCTGGCAACGACCGAGCGCCACCAGCGATGTCCCCAGGTTGAGATAGGCCACTAGAAATAGATGAAACAAACGGAAACCACAAGAATTAGGTCACGTGAAGCGACGCTGCTGGGCGGCTGTTACGTAAATGATAAGAGCATTAAAAAAAGACAGAAGCGCAAATTACTTTCGGTTTTACGTGAACGATAAGCCTTTTAATCCAGTTGGGTCCTTTTTTTCCCCGGCCAAAGAGTAAGCGGAACAGGGGTTCCACCCTCCTTCAATCCCATCATCGTGCACTGTGAAGGCTGAAGTATTTTGCAAGAAGGCAATAAGAGTGCCGCTTCAGCTATAAGGAGGTCGGGGCTGCCGTCGTCGTCGTTGCCGTCGCTGTCGTTTGTCGTCGTTCGTCGTAGATGTGAGCAAAGACGTAATCCAGCACAGATAATTGGACTGCACTTTATGCCTCTCACGTTGCTTTCGCTAAAAGTTTCCTTTCCATCGCCGGTGACAACCTGCAACCCAACCACCACTGGCTAAAGGTATAGACTATAGTGTGTGCTAAGGTGGTGGGGAAGCCGGTCCAAGTCCATCTCATAATCGGACAAACGTGTAAAAAGCAAAATAGCATCATAGAGTTGCGCTTCCTGGTCTCTTGGGGTGGGACAGGCAACAGGAGGATGATGGTTACATAAAGCGTACTGAGAGGTTGCGGTGAATGTTTCTACTTCAAAAGCTGAGAGGGGAGGGCAAGCAAAAAAGTGAAAACCTTTTAACGTGATTTTTTATGATGAGAGGAACTATAAAGAAATATCCACTCTGATGTCCTGATGGGACTCATTTTGCCCGATGCGCGTGTTTGTATCATTTCAGGAAGCACAGGGAGAAATGCTTTTCGTTCGCTGATGGATTTGGTCACATTTGATGTGTTTAATAAGGGGTAGTCACCACTTTGAGTGACGATTATGTTACATAGTGTCTGAAAAGTATACTATAGTAGCGGTACAATTTTCCCTTGAGAAATGCCGAGTTATTTGGCTTATAAGAGTTTTTTGAGTGAGGACTGAGAAAGCTGTTAAAACATGGATTTCCATCCTCTGTGTCACAGTCAGGATTTCTCTCTGTGGGGGAGGGGGATGGGGGAGGCGTTTGTATTTCTTTTATAAAAAAACAGTTTTTGCTAATTTCTCCATAAATCTTATTCCTCAATTACATGGAAACTTGTTTGATTTTTTTGGTAAACATATTAAAAAAGGCATGCTAATTATACAGGGTGATTCAAAATAACGGTCACTGATTTCACAAATATGCCATTTTCAACGGGTAAAATTTGCATATGTTCAAGTATTTTGGTTTAAAAGTGTGTATAAACATCAGCTTGTATTGTAGGATTTGAAATTTCATTCGGTTTCAATTTCAATCAGCCATGGCCGTGAAAATGGAGCATGTCATAAATCTGCATAAATTCGTGTGTTATCTTTTAGAAACTGAGATTTCTTCGAAAGAATGAAACGTTTATTTTTCGCATCATTGTAGAATTAAAAACAAACCATGAGAAGAAATCCGTTCGATATCAGAGCTTAAGCGTATCGCCAGGACTTCAAAAGTGCTGGAACTAAAACGTGCGAGCCAACTGTGGTTCATTTAAAAAATCATGCAAGCATTCAATCGATATGACCATTTTTGAAAATGACAGTTATTCCGAATCACGCTGTACATTTTTACTAAAAATATACTACCTCCAGGAAACTATTCCCAGGATCTTTACTCTGTAAAGATCTATCAGTATATCCAATGAAATTTCCAGTGTACGCTGATGGAACATTTTTGGAGAGGTTTAGAAAACCATTTAGTGATCTCCGAAAAAAAAAAAACTTCATGGCAATGTTGGCAGAAAGTGTCCGGAAATAAATATCCAGGAATTGTTTGCACGAAAGGGTGCGGGCAAGTCGAAGGATCTTTCATAGAAATTTTAGAGAAAGCTCTAGTTGAAGTCGACAAACACTTCCGGGGAAAGTCAGCAAGGGGAAGTCGCAAAGAGCTTCCAGGATAACAACAATCTTCTGGAATCAGCATGGGCCTAGCCAGAGAGCTGCAACAACATAAATTTCCTAAATTTTGTTTGTTAAGATTATAGGAAAATGTTCAAACTCTTCTATTCAATATTTTCTAAGTCTTAAAACTAATTTGCTTGAACTAAAGAATCATGAACTTTTCGGAACACCATTGGAATGTTATTGGGCTGCTTTGGTTAGGCGACCAAAATTTGGAAGTATTTCGAGATCGCGAATAAAGAAAAAAAAAAATCAGTAATTGCAGACAAAATCTTCAAGATTGTAACACTTGGATTTTATTTGGGTTTGCATATGGGTCAATGGGAATTTCCGAAATATTTAGGGTGTCGAAAATTGCAGAAAATAAATTAAAGAAACTGCAATTTAAATAATGACATTTTGAAAATTGATAGAATTGGATTTTTTCTTCCAGAAATTTATTTTATTTATTTTTTTTATTTAAAAAAAAATAAATTAAAAAAAACTAAAAAATTTCAAGATAGTTCTAAAAAGAAATATGTATATGAGAATTTGAAGGAGGCATCCAATTGAATGTTATTTTACTGTAACTATTTTGTTTGTAATTATTCTGCGTGAAGTGAACGATTCACATAGATGCTTAGCGTCAAATAACATACTTAAAGTGGTCATTTTATACGATAAATGAGGAGATGAAAGTATAGAGTTGATAGTTAACATTAGAGTACGGCAGTGCGAAAGTTGTATATAGAGAGTAGAAAGCGAACATGACAACTTTGAGGAAGTTACAAATCGGGTTGAATATCTCTCTTTACCAAACTCCCTAGTTGGAGACGGATGGCTACAACAAATTTAAACAGCAATTATCAGTGCTCAAATTTACCTGCAAATTGCCCACCTTGTTTGATTCTTGTTTCTCTTCGTTCCTTGTTTGGACCCAACCCGCGAAACGTATAACTGGCGCCTAACCGCAAGAGAAAAGAGTAATCCCTTGATCCCCCTTCTGATGAAATTTATTTGAGCAATCAATTCGATATGATCATGGATGCTGAGAATGATCCATAATGCAGGCAAAGTTCCACTAAACTTTGCCGGATTAATGCCTAAGAGAAAAATGTATCCCCTATTGTGATAACTACTTCCGCTTACCATGCTCTTCGCACAGAACTTTTGAACTATATTAAATTCAATTTTTCACTTCAAATTGGCTGTCAGGGTGAATTCCGTGTATTGTCAGATCAAAGATGAATTGCCAAAATTACTTGGAGTTGAGCCAATCCAACTAAGGGGCTGTTAATTACCTACGTAGACAGCTTTATGGGATTCTCGAAAACCACCCCCCCCCCCGCCCCCTGCGTGGACAGTTGTTCATACATATTTTTTTAATTTGTATGGACCGGGGGAGTGACCGAAGAGGCGAATTGTCAATAGTCAAGTTAATGCGTAGTGATATGGTGTTCGTCCGCTGTTTAAATGCTCGACGGAGTTTGACGTGTGGGCATTCTGTTTTCGACTAGCTCGACAGGGGGCTTTTCAAAGGATTTTTCAGCTAGTATTTACAAGTCGGTCAGAAGCCAATCAAGAGCGTTGTTATGCATTAATATTGTCTATTTACAGATGCATTATTTCTTCGTCTTATTGGTTTGCATTGGATTCATGACGGAAACTATGTTAATTGAATATAATTCAATGCAAACAATTCAAAGATTTGAGGATTAAGTTGAATAGGTTTTCATTTTGTCCGTGGTATGTTGAATTATTATTAACTGTGCTTTTAGTGAGCCAACTTATGATTACATCGCGAAATATTGAGTTGATGCATATTAAAGATTATTTTCGTTAGTAAATAGTGCTTAACTTTGATACAGCTAGCTAGGAGTCCACCCTGAGATCGTAGCCATAGTGGTCGAAAAAAAGTTTGTTATGATTGGGTGTAGCTCCTCTTTTGCTTTTCCAATCAACAAGGGTCAACCTTACCTTGTTTTTTTGTTAAAAAGTAATTGGAGTAGTTGTTTGTGTTGGGATTTTTGAGAAAATTTTCAACTGACGGCAATTGAGAAACATAGGGAAATCTTGGATATTGCAGATATCGATAAGCACTCGATTTCATTTATCGTTCTGCTTTCAAAATTCTTGCAAATGGAACGATGCAAAGCCAGCTCAAAATACTGAATATTTTTCAAATGGTACTTCTGGCTCTTGTTCCAAATTTTGCTGCTTCTCTCTGGACTTCAAAATGTAAGCACTTAATTCCAAATTTACGCGGTCATGTTTTTCCTCCTACGAAACCTAATGAAATCAAAGTTTGATGCAATTGGTTCCAAAAAAATAGAAAATGTCCAAAGAAGGAAATGTTACATACGTGTTTCTTCTAAGTTTACCACAGTTTTGCTGTGTGAATCAAGGTGATGAATTTGTTAAAGTTAGCTATATAATTTTAAATAAAGCACATAGATGGTTAAGGAATTCAGGAGTGCTTGGAACACATAGAATTATAAACCACGGTAGAATCATTTGACAAGCCCCTTGATCCCCTTTCTCATTTTACAGCTGAAACAATAAATTTTACAGATCGATGTCATTCTATACCACTTGAAATCATTGTAATGGGGTCGATTTTTAATGATAGAGTTCCACATTGGTTATGTGCTTCAAGTCTAGAGAACTAAACAACCTTAGAAAAAGCTAGCCTTCTCGTTCATATCCGAGTGAAGTGGGAACACTTCAAGAAGACTGGAGGAAATTTCCAAAACCTCACCAAGTGCCGTAAGTGCCAGGGATGAGGTCACGAGCAAAAACAAAATGCTACATGCCAGCAAAATGCTTAAATTGTGGTGATTCCTCTCACGCTAAGAACGATTATCCTGTGAAGGAAAATCCTAAGCAATTGAAATGTTTAAGTTTTGGTGAAAACCACAAATCTGATTTTTGAGAATGTAAGAGTAAGACACGCAAAATGATCCTAAAATCTCGTTCAAAGGATCAGATCGAAAACGCTTGCCCTTCCCTGCCAGGTATTAATTTCTCTGCTGTTAACA